TTAGGGATCAAGGATGTAGGGAGGGGTTGGGTTTGAGGTATTCAAGAAGAGAAATTGTGTGGGGACGATGAACGATGTGAAATGGTCTTCAAAGTTCAAGTCCATTCCAAGTGTTATTATGCTGGGAAATGTGTTACTGCATGGCGTAATCTGTTACTGTGTGACGCAAGGTGCTAATGTGTGTCGCAATGTAGTGTTATATGACGTAATGTGTTACTGTATGGCGTAATGTGTTACTGTTCTGTGTGATGCAATATCTTGGTTTATATCGCTATGTGTTTCTGTGTGATTTAATGCGTTACCTTGTGATGTAATATCACTGTATGGCGCAATGTTACTGTATGACGTAATGTATTAGATCTATGTGCATTGTGACTCAATATGTTGGTTTATATCGCTATGTGTTTCTGTGTGATATAATAATAACAAGAAATAAATAAATTACACCTTTATTTGCTCAGAAGGGCACTTTGTTTTACAATGGCAAACATACATACATAAAAACATTATTATAAATACGTACATACATAAATACACACCTGCATAAATACATACATAAATACACACTATTACACAAATACAGAACAGTTTACAACAATGCCACTGTCTGTCGCCACTGTGTAGCGCCCTGTATTTTGAACCAGGGTTGCCGTGTCTTTCTCAAGAACACACCCCAGTGACCACCCATCTGATCCCCGTGCCACCGACACTTGCTTGACATTGCTTGAGTCTAAACTCACTACTCACTTAGCCTTGTGACGTAATATCACTGTATGACGCAGTGTTACTGTATGACGTAATGTGTTATGTGCAGTGTGACACAATATGATGTGTTTGTTTATGTCGCAATGTGTAACTGTGTAATATAATGCGTTACTATTAGTTTATTTTTAGTAGAAGTTTTTCGGCGCTCGCAACTGCATAAGGTCATATGAGCACCAGAAGATTAGAGGTGTCACAAGAGAGTAACATACATAAAAAAGAAGAAAGGGAGATAAGGACGATAGATGTTTTATAGGAAAGAAGAAGTAAACCACACCAGAACACCCGCCAACCACCTACTGCGTTACCATGTCACACAATATATTACAATGTGACCTAATACATCGTTGTATACAGTGTGCTACTGTGTGATCTCAAGTGTAAGTTGTGTGAGGAAATGTGCTACTGTATGACGTCATGTGTTACTATGCTATGTGGTGCAATACAATATATTTGATCATGTTACAATGCGTAACTGTGTGTTATAATGCGTTATCTTATTTTGACGTAATATCATTGTATATCATAATGTTACTATGTGAAGCAGTATGTTGG